TCCAATGGGCAAAACAGATAGACATGAGCTAATTTTGGTGCTCTCACTGCCACTGTCAAAAAAACTCCATGGCTTTTGATTCAACTTGCTACACTAAAACAGGTTCAGGAGAAGTGGCAATGCCATAGCTAAGTGCCTTAAAAATGCCTCCTTTCTGGTATTTCAGACTTTACAGATACTGTACAGAGAGTTCCAAGACAGCAATTGCCGGTAGCATGGGATCTAATCGATCTTTCATTAGATCATTAGGAAAGGCTGCCCATTGCACACACCAATTTGTTCCTAGCATGAAATATAGAAGATGTAAGGCAAGCTCTACTTCTAAAGCAAGACATCAGTTTAGCCCCTGGTTCAAGCTGCTCCTCACTTTTGATGTAGCTTAGTAAACTTTGTCCAGATTCCAAAAAGTGACAGTGCCTGAGCTTGGCAAAACCTCTTTCTCACTAACCTTTCAACCTCATCATGCTCTTAGCCAAGTCCATTTTAGCAGTTTGAGCCAAATAGAGGAAAACTTCAATGTAGTAAGCTAAGAGTACGATTACTAGAAGTACTGGTTAACTGGAAAGCGTGTCTTTGTCGATGCTTTGTGCAAGAGTCATCAAAATAATTGCAGTACTTTGGCAAAAGCAAAACAAGGAGCAGAGAGGATTACTAGAATACACTGGCTGTTTTACAGCTCTGCGGTGACAGCAGAGATCGCCTCTCCTCGCCAAGTTACTACCTTCAGAAGACTACTTGGCAATAATTCAAGTACAGCTGTAGAAGGGATATTTTAGTGCTAAACACCACAAGATTTACAAGAGAAAGGATTTCATTAACCTAACCAACGTAGTTGGAGAACAGAGAGAAAAAAAACAACCAACTCAAAAATCATCAGCAAGCTTTTGGGCTCTTACACGCTAGAAACCTGAGGCAGAGTTTCCGGACCTGAAAGAAAAATTTGCTTCTCTCCTGGGCCTCCCACCCAAACCCACGTTGCTTTGCTGTGGTGACAGCGTGGATTTAGTTACATCAAAGTGATCTCAAATCTCCTACCTTCACCATGATTCAACACAGCTAGCAGGAAGCTCATCCAAATAGAGATTTTAATCTGGTTTTGTGCATTTGGATTTTAAGTATTATCTAGAAGCCACATTTCTACAGCTGGCAAAACAACTGAAGGGGGTTGCTCCCATAAAACATTTTTTGCAAATATTGAGTGAAACTGAAGTATTTGAGAATCATCAATTTGACCCTTCAATAATCCTGGCAGATCTGCTCCTCCCTGCTCCACCGTGCCCATTCTTGGACTTGAAGATCTCAGCTGGTGCCCGACCACAGTGCTGGTGTGAGGAGAAGAGAGGGAGGTTTCTGCACCGACCATACCTGGGCTTCCTCTCACCTATCTCCCACTCTTGCTTCGGTGAGGGAAAAACCCTCCAAAACTGATTTTTTTTTTTTTTTTTTAATGAAAAAATAAAATACGTTTCCCTTCCAGGGGAAATTCTGAGTATTTGAAGTTCCTACTCAGAACTCAGTTTATTGAATACTTTCCAGTGAATGGAAATACCCGATCTGTGAATAGTTCTACCTAGTAAGCATTGAATACAGTCATCTGCCACTGCACAACCACCATGGCTTACAATTCGGTGTGTTCATCTAACCGACTCATTTAAAGCAACCAAACTATGTCATGACGTTTCTTAATTGAAATAAATTAAAATTCCCCCCCAAAACAAATAAAGTGTCTAATTTTTCTAGCATGCCAAATACAAAAAAACTTAAATTATTTAACATAATGTATGAAAATAGGAAAAGGTGTTTATTTGGCACTTGAACACATTTGGGTCTAAGCAACTAGGTAATGGCTTGCATCAGTTTAGCAACCTGGCATTTTCAATGACATCGGCAGCTAAGAGAGACATAAAATATTGGAGCTACATTTGGTAAGGCTACCGCAACCTCAGTCAAATTCCAGCCTGAGAATTCATTAACTCTTCACAGTGTTACAAAAAAAAAAAAAAAAAAAAGCCAGTGTAAGAAACTAGTGTGGCATTGAGTACATGGGGTGAGAACACAAGTCTTGTGCACAGCTCCATCTCAGTTTCATTATCCTAGCCAAAAAAGTTACGGTTGTACCGTTCCCCACCGATTGCCTGGGCTGAGCTTACTTTGGAAAGAGAAGAGTGCAAAGCAACACTCAGTTTTTCTTCTCTGGGTTCTGCATGCCTCAAACATGGTTTCTCATTAAACCATTGCCATCTCTTCTGTCTCAGTTTATCTTCTCAAGCCAAGAACAAAATGTCATGCAGTTATATTGAAAAATATTCAAACATATTTATTCATTCTTTAAACAAACTTACAGATCAAGTAACTGCAATGAAGAACAAACAAATGAGAGCAAAACTCGGAAAATTTCAAGATTAAAAAAAATCCCTAGCCATAAACAAGACATGTTAAAGATGAAAATATACTCAGAACCTTACTTTACATGCCAAAACACAGGCTCAGGAAATCCATCCATTAGGAAGTGTGTCAATTACTATTATTCAGGACACAAAGAATTACCCAAAGCATTTCCATATAGTGATCTAGACCATCCTCTGCATCTAAGTGTTCCTTTTGGCCTCGCATCTTCCATCTGTTTTTTCCACTCCTTTGGCTTTATGAATTTGTTTGGGGTTTTTTGTTGTTGTTTTTAAAACAAATAAGCTTTGTTTTTACCAAAAACACCAAAACAAAAGTCAAAAGAATTTAGGGTAAAGTACCGAGGATCATCTTCCTAGATTGCTATACTGAAAGCCACACAACTTTGTATTATACTGTTATGCTTACTTATCTTGAAATCATACATTTCTGTTTGTCTAGTGGCCTATGACAAGCAACATTCTAGATGAGGTAGATTTATGAAATATATCGCTATAATGATATGAATGTTGTGGGGGAGAGGGAGTGAAGTTGGCAGAGGAATTGAATTACCTTTTCCCCCACGCTATTCCTTTACCTCTGGAATATCAGAGTGCTGCTAGCTGACTTTGTATAACCTGAGTTTTGTTTTATCTCACTGAAATCCCTGAGACTTTATTCTTGTTTTGTCTCATTAACCAATTTTTATAATTTCTTTTTAGCCTGATTGCAAGTAGAAGATTTAAGCTAATATGGGGTCTGCTAGTTCTGCTACATTTCTCCTCCCTTTTCTACCACCAGTAACGAGAGGTAGGCAAGAGATGTGGAGGAAACTCTGTATTTGGGAGGGTCAGTGGGGACCGGGAAAGAATTGAATTGGCACAGAGAGGGAGGGCACACATAAGAGGGTAAAGGATATAAACTTGTAGCTAAAAAGCAAGCTCAGTTAGTTCTACTTCTCACAGAACAGAATGTTCTAAAAATGTATCATTTCAGGTATTTGATATAATTGAGCTTGAGGGCAGGGCTGAAGTCTGGAAGGTTAGTGGCTATGGAGTCTGTTCCTAGCAAACTTCTGAGGAGATCTCTTCCCAGCCTGCTAAGACTGTCTCTTATAGATGACTGATGTGTCTGCACTGAGCTGGGAGGAGCAAGAAATTCCTGAACGCTAACCATAACCAGCCTGCGTGGATCCCTTTCTCCCCGTTACATTACTTTCTGCCTCCAGCAGTCAAGGTACTGCTGTCAACACCCTTCCAGCACTGGGTAGAAATTAATGCTCAGAATTCAGAGCAGAGAAATGTGGCAGTTGTGCCAGAAAACATCCGTTGAGCTCTGCTGGGTAAAGCAACCTCAAAACAGAGCCATCAAAAAAAAAAAAGAAATGAACACATCAATTCATGATTTACACAAAAAAAAGGTCATCAAGCTGCTGCAGTAGAGTATAGAAGAATTTTTCTTTGAAGTCAAATCAGCACCTTGTTTTAAATTGCTAAGCTCCTAGAGGGGAAGCTCAAATCACAGCCTCATATTATAGGAAGAGTAAAGCTTATCCCTTAGAAAGCAGGCCAAGGTTGTCACCTCCTCTTCCCCCAAATCCATCAGCTCATCAGTAAGGATGGGGCTTGAAGTCTTTGAATTAATTTGGTTTCAATGGTTTAGCACTTGTCAGACAAAGTGACCCCAGCTCCTTAGACTCATGCATCCGACCTGGTAATTTTGCTGGACCGACTCAGGATGACTTCGCTTCCAAAAATCAGGTGTTTTCAGGCCAATATGGCCACAGTAGAATCACAGTCTGCTGAGACTCAATACAGTCATCTGCCACTGCACAACACAGGTAAAAAAAATTCCATTTATCATCTTAAACAAAGTATAATTAACGCAAGAAGTCCATGAAGGTAAGGCATCTGAGGACAGGCGCTTGAAAGGATAAAAAGCTGAGCTTTTGCTATGAATAGTCTGAATACCAGCTGGACACCAGAGAGGCTTTTCATACACGCTTTTAAAGAAAAAAACAACCCTCTTTTACGGGGTTTGACCAGCCCACAGCAGACGCACGTCAACCAGAGGCACAGGAAGGCCAGCCCGTAAATGCCCACTGGGCCGCGCCCTGCCTGGCGCGCTCGGAACAGGCCACCCGCGAGCGGTCCACGCCCTGGCAGCAGTTCCGGGCAGTGGCACTAACGAGCCGTCTACTGTAAACGAGCCTCATCTCACCTCCGCGAAATCCAGCCAAAGCCTCCGGAGCGGGCACGGAGCTTGCTCACAGCCACTCGCTTACGGTCTGACGTGAGGCACAAACACAAGTGCAAACGACAGGTAACAGAGCGCAGCTGGCTGGAGCCAGGAGGAGAGATGCCGCAACGCAGTCAGGTAAAAGGTACATACGCGCTCGTCTCAAATGATCCAAGATGAGTATTTCTAGCAGAGATGGAGGAATGGCCGCCGTTAGCGACGTATCTTCTGAGCATCAGAGGGGTAAGGCTCAGAAAGGACTCAGTAAGGTGAAAGATAGTGAATGTCTTGCAGGCCTCTTCACATCTGTGTTGTCACCTGAGGTACGGGAACAGGAATGAAAGTTTCCTTGTCTTTCACTGGTAATGCAGAGTTCATCAGTTTTCTCTGTCAGAATTGGCACATTCTGGAGTTTCTGTTAAAATTAAAGAATGAATTTCTTCTTCCTTAATTAGCCTGTCGTAAGCATTCGCAGAATCATCCTTTGCACAGCTCTGAAAGAGAACAACATTTTTAACAGTGCTTCTCCATGGTGAGCGTTGTTTTTTCAACACAACAAGACAGACCTGTTTCACAACGCACAGCCTATATTATGGCGAAAAAGCCAAGGTCGCGGGGCAACAAGTTGGGCTTATCAGGGACACGGCTTAGGCCTGGATGACAGAACAGTTGACCTCTCTGGAAACAAGGATGAACTGAAGGTTGGCCCCCATCTTAAGAGTGCTTCCAACTACAGCTAACGGGTGAAGCTCAGGCAGAAGGATGGAGAAGTGAGGAATACACGCTTAGTAGAGTTTTCACTGAAACCTAAGCACATAGAGAAGATCACGATAATATTCAGAGGCAAGAACATAGTGTTACTTGGGGCAGTAACAAAGCACTTGTCAAAGCACGACAAAGTGTAACAGCTCCCATACTTATGATCCTCATGGCCAAGAGTCCCATCTTAGCGTCATAATGACCAATACATGCTCAAGTATTTATCCAAAAGGTAGTAAACTAGGAGGCCAGATCCATGCTTTCCACATTGTTCTGATTTATTATTAGGTGAAATCGGAGTACTTCTATGGAAAAAAAGGAATACTGGATTTTGGACTTTGACTCCATTTACAATTTGGAGGCCACAAAAGGAGACTTATTTTCAAAAATTCCTGCAACTCCTGTTCAATGGAGAACATCGAATGCACGTACAGCACCAGACACCCAGATAGCCATTATGCTCTACAAACGTTTCACAGGTGGCATCAATTCTGAGATGCTACAGTGAGTCAGAAGGTCCCTTCCATGCAAGGACTGTGTTCAGAGAGCAACATACATTGCCTCATGTCCAGGTTTGAATTAGGGCTTGTCAGTGTAGTTCCCTTAGCATTTTTATAAAGAGCTACTGAGTTAGACTCGTTTAGAAATAAGTGTTTCCATAATCAGTATATGTTTATTTTTCCTGAAATAAGGGCCCGTAGCAAGTCTTTCATCAACCAAAGCTTGAAGCAGCTATAGTTAGTTTTGTTCTTTTGCCAATGAGAAGCTACGTCTCCCGATTTACTTCACAGCTGACTGTGATAAATGTGAAAGTGGTAAAAACGTTAAGTTTCTGGAAGTCAAATATGAATAGCTTTATTCAGCATCACAAATATGAGCAACTAGCAGAGAGAGACCTGAATGTTCAGGAAAAGTAGTTTAATGGAGCTGCAAAAAACCCCCCAAAACCAGAAAAACCCCAACAACCAGAAAACTCCCACCAAAAAACCCAGTCCCCAAATCAACCCAAAACACATTTAAGGGACTAGCAGTCTGTGAAAGAACAGAATAATGCAATTCTACTAATGCATCTAGAAAAGTATATGCAATTTGAGGGGAAAAAAATACCTCTCAGCTTTGGGTAATTGTTCCTGAACAATGCTCACTATCATAAACACTTAGTCTTCATACTGTATACTTCCTTATATACAGTTGGTTTTAAGATAGACATAGGCATTAGGAAAAAGAAAATTGGAAGCCTACAGACTCTGGTTCAATCGATTAGTTGGCCCAACAGCTTCTTACTAACCTGGGAATCCTCGTTTTGCTCTCCAAACATGCGCTTAAGAATTTCTCTAGGGTCCGGAATTGGCGGAAGAATTAATATCTTCAGCCTTCAGAAAATTAAAAAGAAAAGCTTTAGATGAATGAGGCATTAATCTAAAAATCGCCATTTCAATGTCATACTTGGGTGAGGTCAAGAAAATTTGTGGAGTTAGCTTTGACATCACTAGCCAGCTTTCACTCTCCGCAGCTGTCGCCCAATTCTCATTTCAAAGGAAATGGGAATATTCACACAGACAGATGCTAAATAACTTCCACTATTGACAAAGACAGCAGCAAAAGGAGACTTTTTTAAAAATCCGGTATAATATACTATGTAAGCTTAACTTTGAATTTGGACTTCATTGCTTAAAGAGAGGGGATGCAGTAGTTGTGCAAGAAGAATCTAACTGTGAGCATACACAAGCAGTGTTACCCAAGTGCAACCAGAGCGCGTATATGGTCTATAAACCTAATTCTAATGACTGAGGCACGACGGTACTGCTATTTTTGCTATGCAATGCATGTACGGCTAAAACAGCTGCTGTTGACACATGCCACATCATGGACTGTTACCTGGAAGAGAGATGAATTGTAACACAAACCAAAGACCCATGAGAATTAGTGGATTGCAAATAAAGGAGGTTGTTACTTACCTTTTTAGATAAACTAGTAGAATTATTGTAGAAACCGCTACTATTAATGGAATGGTGATTATCAAAACAAAACAGAACGTAGAGTCCGCCTTCTCACCTTGAAAAAAAAAAGTTGTAGAAACTTAGGGATGTTTTGGGAGGCTTTTTAGGAATAATGTCAACAAATCAATTAGTTTTCTAATTAATTCACAGACAATGTTCTTCAAATATACTAGCACTTTTGTAGGCAAGGACTCCTTCTTCAGAGCATGATATTATAACATGATAGATACATTTGGCAAGAAAATGAAAACCAGCAAGACTCTGGGCTGAAAAACTAACAGCACTGGGAAGGGGTTATTGCACAGCTACACGGATGGAAACCCCATCAACATATATAGCAGCACAGGCAGTAATTGATGGCACTGTGGAAGGACTAGAACTCTCTTGCCCTCTTTTCACCTAAAATAAATAGGTACATAGGAAGACGACTCTTAACTCCCATTTACGTAGCAGACTAAAAGTACTAGATGCTTTACAGATGGAGAAAAACGTGCAACAAATGGCAGGAACAATAGTTCTCACCAATACTCTTTTCTTCACTCCAGTCACTACAGAGCTTGCTGCTGTAACACTCGGGCTTCAGTTTTGCTCTCACTTTGAAGATGTATTTTCTATTAGGATCAACGCTAGGAATTGATGTGTAATTTTTTCCAACCTATGGTGAAAAGAAAAAGTTATTTGCCTTGTTCAATTACCTCCATTACCTTCAATTACCTCAATTACCTTCAATTATTCTCAGTCATTTACAAGCCCATTTTCACTGTGCAGTTAATGTATTCTGAATGTTTTGATGGAAGATCTTTTTGTGAATATTGAACATCATAAAAAGGATATAGTAGCATTTAACCAGCACAGAGTGCCTAAACAGAGATTCCAAAGCTAATATTTAAACTTATTCACTGCTACATCTATCATACAACATTTAGCATCGATGATTAAACTAAGACTCAGTGTCTGGAACACTGCCTTTTTTTTTTTTTTTTGAGAAACATCTCTGATTTATGTTGCCTTCCCCCCTCTGCCAGGGCAGCAATGCTGATCCAACTTTGACCATGTAAAAGTCTTCTGCGATGCCTCTACAGAGACACACAAACACACCAGCTGGGATCAAACTTCACTTATTTTTGATCCAAAATATGAGTTTCCTGAGGAATGTTGATACTATTTGA